CGAAATTATATTATTCGAGTAAAGAAAAAAGAAAACAAAGTGTTTAACAAAACTTCATCAAAACGTGTCGAATCACCGACAACAACATCATCATCATCATCATTGTCTGTCGAATCAGATCCTCAATATTTTTTTCTTATTCGACATGGAATCTATTTGTCAACAAGTTGTAAAGATGATGGTCTTATTGAACTTGGTAGAAAACAGGTAATATTCTAATGTTAATCAATTTAAATTCGAAATTAAATTAATTAGGCATGTGCAGCAGCTGAAACAATTGATGTACTTGCACATTCAATAGAAAAATCTTCAAATAAAACATCACGTATTCTATTTACAGATTTAATTCAATCAGGTTATAAACGTGCTTGTCAAACAGGTTTAATAACAGGTCATCGTCTTGAAGAAATGCAAAGACTTGAACAATCATTTAATATTATTTATAAACGTTTTAAATGTTGGAGTGAAATACATTCAATTGAATGTTTTCGAGAACGTTGGAAAAAAATTCAACGTTTATTTTTTTCTACATCATCTAATCATAATTTATCATCAAAAAATTATGTTATCTTTTCGCATGGAAATCTTCTTAGTAGTATTATTAATTATCTTATGTCAGGTGCATCATGGAATCAATGGCAATTTGGTAATATAGCTCCACATTGTTCTGTATCTGTTTTATCATATAAATCTGGAGATTTATTACCACAAATTATTTTAAAACCTTTTCAAATCTATAATCAATCTTTACCAATAACAATTAATAATGTTAATCCAAAAAAAATGCGATTAAAAGAAATTATAACAAATGGAATAATTAATGAACAAATTTGGACATTAATTATTAATACAATTATTCCAGTAAGTTGTTATATTGTAGAAAATTAATGAAAATTTAATTTCTTTTCTTTTTCTTTTTCTATTTAGGAACGTGTCGTTGGTTCATATACAGATCAAATTTCAATTATTTCTAAATTTATTCCAGATAATGAAGACGAAGCATGTCATATATTATTTATTTTTAAACAATATTATTCACAAATAATGACAAATAAAGAAAAATTATGTATTATAGATACAAATTTAGATAGTGATAATGAAGAAGAAGATGATAATGATGAAGAAGAAAATGATGATTGAAAAAACAAAAAGGAAAATGAAGAAACTTATTTAACATCTTCTATAACCCATAAAACTATTAATTAATTTTAAAAGAATCTTGTTTTTTTTTGTCTTTGAAACGACTAATTAGTCTTTAAAATCTCATAAGAATATACATGTTCATCATTTAGAAAATAATATCAATTAATGAAGAAATTATTGAAATAGTTACTAGCATCAATGATAATAAATATCTTTCTGAATGTTTGTATGAATTGAGCATTAATTAAAAGTATATTGAAGTCAGTGGAGTATTAAGCCATGAGCAATTGTTTACGACTGAAAAAGATCCTGCTCATAGATTTTTTTAAACATAATGACAATAGTTCATAGCTGCCTACAAATAAAAACTCCTTGACTCCGGCACAGGTTGAGAAAACTACTTTTGAAATACAGATATATCATTATTCTCTATCGTAGAGAGAACAGATCTTCTTCATAGCATGTCTGACTTCCTGCAAAGATTTTTAATGCTCATAAAATAAAATAAATTTATGCAGACAATGTCGTTGCGAGGTAAATAGAATTAGGAAGAGAAAGCAGGTTACCGTGCATTCCGTTCCTCTCGCTTTCAGTCACCAATTCCAGCACTCCGAGAATGGAATCTATAAAATCTTAAATACTTATGTTGTAATTAATATCTCTGAAAATAACTTTAAAAAAAACCTTGTGTCTACTCTATAGTATCAAAATATTCTTAAATACGAAAGATAATGAATACTGTTAATAATCCTATGTAATTGTTTTGTTTATTTCTTTCTGTACTTTGAATAATTCTAAATGAAAAACATCCTACAAAATTAATGATATGAAATAAAGTTGATTATTTTTTGAGTGTACTCTTCATAATGAATGATTATCTTTTATGTAGAAAAAAAATAATAAATTTTTATTAGATTTTTTTTTTCTCTTTGGATATCATTAAGAAAATAGGAAATCAGAAAGATAAATATTTTATTTTGAAAGAAAAAGAAAAGCTTCATTTAATGTATACGAAACAAAATTATTCCGAACGATTATTAGTTGTTTGTTGTTGAATATTCGGTGATGTATTACCAAAAAGAAAGCCCAATTTAACACCTTCACCACAATCACAATTACAATCTGAAATTAAAAATTTCATGAGTATTCATTTGCTTTGGATGTAAAAAAAAATCTAACTGATATCATATTGTGAACGACTTATTTGTGTTATAAGTGCTGTAATAAAAGCTGCTTGTGGTGAATTATTTTGTTCATAGATATCTCCTACACGTCGTTTACTTGCATCACATTTACAAGAACAATCAGTAAATCGAAAATTAAATTGTTCACGAGCTTCTATATTTGATTTTTCATTACTGGGAATTGAATTTGATCTGTTACCCATTGAATATATTGGAATAAACAAATTTTAAGAACTAATGAACAACATAAAATATGAAAGCAAAAACAATAGTAATTTTTATTGTTTTTTGCATTAGGCGCGAAGTTTTGTTTTTTACTATAATATTGGCTAATATTTCAGTTCTCTTGTCTAAAAAATATTATTGAAATTATGGATTGTAATCGCATATGTCAGTACACGTTAGGTTAAAAACTAATATTTTTTCTTAAAATTTACATACATATGTCAAAAAAGCATTTCCTCTCTACGTTAATTTAGTCAAATTATTATAGAGAAATACTAACCACTGTTTTCCCCTTTTTTTTTTATAATTCTTCCAACATTACTATTATGCATGTAAAAAAAAGAGTTTTATTTGAAGAGAAAAGGGATCACTTACGTAAAAAAAAAGGTAATCTAATGTCATAACTTCTGTTGAAGGAAAAAAAAAGGAGAAGAGAGAGAACTACTATCTATAATCAACACACATAGCAAATATTGGTAATGAACATTTGGCACGGTTATTATAAAAAGGAAAATGTCAAACATATTCATAAATTTTTCTTCAACGATGGATGATTCCAAGAATATTTTATTGAATAAACTTCAAGAAGGTGCACTTTTTGTTAAATTTAATGATGATGGTTCATTAAATGAAGGTTTCTTCTATATTTGTCCAAAACTTAAATCTCTTTGTTATAATACATCAAAAAAATTATTTCAAAATTCAACAAATGAATGTAATATTAAGAGTTTTATAAGATTTTTATTCTCGAATTATTCTTAACTTTATTATTATTTTTCTTTTTATAGATCTTCTAAAAGATTGTGAAGTTCGAACTGGTTTTAAAACAGATACATGGTTAAAAGTTCTTCGTTTGGGAAAAATACGAGAACAACAAGTATTAATTTTCTTTAACTTTGAATTCATTGAAATAATAATTTAATGTCATAGGGTGATTTAGTTTTTTCAATTTTACATAGTCGTGGTCGAAAAAGTTTAGATTTACTTGCAAATGATACAGAAACACGTGATAATTGGGTTAAATGTTTAGAAACGCTTATTCGTGATAGTATTGGAAAACCTTATACAAAAATAACTGATAGGTATGATTAATTATTGAAAATAATAATTTTCTTAAATGATTAATTTTTATTTAGATGGCTTGAAGGTCTATTTAATGAAGCTGATCGTGATAGAAATGGTCTTTTATGTAAAGATGAAGTACATCGATTATTAGAAAAATTAAACGTTCGTTTAACAACTGATGAATTTGAACAATATTTTGAAGTAAATAAAAAGATTTTTTTATTTTGTTTTAATAGTATACTAGGATTAATTAAATATTTTAGCAAACAGATTTACGTGTAGCTAAATATCGCGGACGACTTCGTGTAGAAGATTTTATAACATTTTATAAAATATTAACTTATCGACCTGAATTAATGCATATTATTCATACGTATGTTTTATAAGATCTAATATTTAACTATTCATTATCTGTTTGTTTTTTTTCTTTAAATTTTAGTTATAGTGGATCTTGTGAACTTTGTACATGTAATGGAAATCCAACAATATCAATTATTTGTTCAAGATTGACTCCAGTTATTGAACAGTCAACTGCTGTAATACTTCCGATGACATCTCGACCACCATCATTTCCACAACATCTTGGATTAATACCAATGAGTTCGATGACTAATAATTATATGACTATTGAAGAAGTCAAAGAATTTATGTTAAATGAACAAAAAGTATGTAGAAAAATGTGATTCTCTAATTATTTTGCATTTAAATATATTTTTTTTTAATTAGCAAGCATTATCATTGACTGAAATTGCAGAATTAATTAAAAAATTTGATCCATCAACTGAAGGAAAAGAATGTATTGAAATGGGTGTTGATGGTTAGAGTTTTATAAACTTTTCTTTTCTTCTTCTTAATGATAAACATTTCTTTTTAATCAATAAAAGGTCTTCGAGAAATGTTATTAAGTGATGAAAATCAATTAATGAAACCAGAACATCGAAATAAAGTTTATCAAGATATGACTCAACCATTAACACATTATTGGATTAATACTTCACATAATACGTAAAAAAAAAAATTTATTTATTTATTTCAAAGTATGATTATCAAATATTTGTTTGTCATTCATTCAGGTATCTATGTGCAAACCAAATGGTAGGTAAATGTACCGGTGAATCTTATGTTCAAGCATTGCAACGAGGTTGTCGATCTGTTGAATGTAAGTACAATAGAATTCATCTGAAGATTAAATAATTATTCATAATTTTATGTTTATAGTGGATCTTCATGATGGAGCAGACGGACGACCAGTTGTTCGACATGCATATACATTTATTAAAGATGCTTATTTAGGAGAAATTCTTACACAAATAAAACAATTTGCATTTTGTGCTTCACCGTATGTTCTTTTTTTTATTTTTAACATAATTTTAAGAATTTTTAATTTATTTCATGAGATATCCATTATTTCTCAATCTTGAAAATCATTGTTCAAATAGACAACAATTTCTTGTCGCTAGATTATTACAAGATGAATTTAGCTGTAAGATTTATAACACTATTTGTATTGAATTCATATATATGTATTATTACTGATTTGTTTTAGCGGCAATATATACAGCTGAAGAAGCTAATGCATTTTCAATTTGGCCATCACCAGAACAATTGAAAGGACGTATCATCATTCGAGTACGTTGATTTACATTAAAATTTTTTAAGAAAAAGACATTCGATTAGGGACGAGCTACACCAAAGAATGATTTATCAGTTGATTATAGCAATGAAGATGAATGCTTCGATCCTGATGTTTCCGTATGTAGTATTTTATTTCATTTTATTTCTCGTAATTTAATTTATTTTTGAATATAGGTTGTTTGTAAAGATTTAGCTGCTCTTATTGCTTGTCACAATGCAACATTCAAAGGATTTACAGCTGCTAAAAAGTGTTAGTAATTTATATTGATTTTTGTGTTTTTGTTTTTAAATTTATTATATTAATATTAGCTAAACATACTCAATCATCATCATTATCAGAAAATAAAGCATTAGGATTAGTTGATCATCATGCACTTGATCTTATTCTAAATAATCAACGATTAATTACACGTGTTTATCCATCTGCTTATCGACAAGATTCAAGTAATGTTGTTGAAGCTGTTTCATTGTGGAATACAGGTGTACAAATGGGTATGAACATATTTAACTCTGTCATTTTTATTTAAGATTAATTTGTTGTTTATTTATTTTGTTTTGTTTTTCTGCATTCTAGTCGCATTGAATTTTCAAACAGGTGATGTATCAATGTCACTTAATCATGGTCGATTTGCAGATAATAATCAATGTGGATATATTTTAAAACCAGCAATTTTATGTGACGGTATAAATTTTTTAATAATATTAAAAGAAAAAATGAAAATAATCTGTTTAAATAGATAATACAACATTTAATCCAAATAGTTGTTTTACTGCTTATCTTCTTGCTCAAAGAAGACCATTGAAATTTGAACTTTGTGTAAAGTCTTGTTGTTTTAAAAAATTTCAATTCATTAAATATTGATAATTAAAGGTAATCAGTGCACAACATTTACCAAAACGAAATCAACATGATACATTACCTGTATCACCATTTGTGAAAGTAAAAATTTATGGCGTTCGTTGTGGTAACAAAAGAAGAAAAAAAACATAATTTTTTTTCTATTCAAAATTTGATTTGTTTAGATCAAAATGAACAAAAAACTTCAGCTGTATTAACAAATGGTTTAAATCCAATATGGAATCACTTAATGCAATTTTCAATTTGTATTCCAGAATTATGTCTTATACGATTTTCAGTTAAAGATAGTGATAAAAGTAATACTGATCTTGGTCAATATTCAATACCATTTTTTTCAATGCAATCAGGTAAATAAATAATAGATATTTCAATATCAAACAATATATATGTTTATTTTATTTTTAAAGGATATCGACATATTCGATTACTTGATAGACATAATTCTCCAACAACTGCAACTTTATTTGTACATGTAAAAGTAATAAATATGGAAGCGACTGGATGATTTTTTATCAGAAGTTTAAATTAGAAATAAAAGACAATGATGCTAAATACATATGTATATAGCTTTGATCAATGTTGTATTATTTTTAAATAATCGAAGATAAATAAAATCTTTTAGCTAAATGAAGACGAATTTATTCGAAAATTAGATGTTTATCTAATAAGCTCAAGTATTAATTAATTTCGAATCGAAAATGTCGAAGAATCATGAAGAATTGTATTGTTAATATTTTTCAAACGAATCCGAATTAATTGTGGATATGAATACAAAGTCATAATGTAAAAATGCTCAAGCAATATTAACATGTCGAATATGTTTTTTCGTTGTTTGAATTAATCTTAGTGTCACAGGTGGAAATCAATCGTTGGATGTTTTGGTATTTTTTTTTTGCACAAAAATATAAATACAAGACATAGTGATACCTATAAATTACTGTAGTTATATATATCATGTGAAAATCTGATCCTATTTCTCTCTTCGATATTTTACAGCACGCATTGCTATTTGATGTTGTATAACCAAACAGAAATTTATTTCAATATTGACGATCTTCATGTTCCTGGTGAGCAAAAGCATGTTCGACAGATATCGGCGAGCACAAATATTTAAGCATGACTATTGATGAATGTTCATTTGCTTGTTGATGAAAGAAAAGAAGCGGCTAGACTAAATGAGAGGGTCCTAAAAGCCAGAAACAAAAAAAAACAGTAAGTAAAACAGAAGTATGACTAAAAACTATCATACAACCGGCTAGACAAAGTCGTGCATACTGTGCTATGACAAAGAAGAGGTGTAGTGGAAATCGATCTTGATATGGTATGTTTTCATTTGTTTGAAGCGAACCTATATCAAGTTTCTTTTGAGTATAATGCAAAATTTTAAATACATTTTCGTTCATATGGAATTAGAAAAAC